GCCTTGGATGATGATGACATGTTCTTGATGTTTCCTCTCAGGTTCATGACTACCTCCGCAGCAAGTTGTGCTCCCTCTACGAAAATGACTGCATTTTTGATAAATTTGAGTGTGTGTGGAATGGGTCAGACAGGTAAGAAACACTCGGGCTAAGAGCCTTTCCTTGGAGGAACCTCTGGACAATTTACTCTAAATGGAATGCCTCCAAATGGAGATCAATGCTGGGCCCCAGGACCTGGCCAGGATGTATTATGTGGGTCACTGACTGGAGACTGTTGTCAAGCTTGTAAGGAGAAGCAGCTGTGATGCCCCCAAGTTCATTTCCAGGCTGGCACTGGTGACAGTTTAATGTCAACAAGAAAATGCTGTCTCTGACATACAAGTCACCCAAAAGCTAGGGCAGAATGCCTACTCAAGACCACTGGTAATACACTAGGAAGTCCTCTCCTGCATAATTCTGATTATTGTCAAGGGGCTTTCTAGACCTATCCCCTTGAAGCTGCTAGAACAGACCTGACTGAAGGCCCTGGTACTTCATTAGCAGAATTCTAGCCAACCTCATTAATCACAATCCTTCAGAGTGATTTATTAGTGTTTTAAAGCTCTTGATTTCTACAATACTTCATATTACCTCCCAATAGTTCATTTTTAGTTTGACAAATACAGATGATGCTCTGACTCTCTGTAAACTAGATGCAGGCTGCTGGGGCTCAGTTAGCTTCTTGATGATGGAGGCACAGCGTTTAATAGCATGGGACTTTTTCCACAGCAGGCCATTCTGAGATTCCAGCTCTGAATGAGTGCCACGATCTCTGATCACCTTGCCCCTCTTCCCAAACCACCACTGAATCTTCTATTGTAGAATTCAGCTGAACCAGATGTAGTAAACATGTAACAAAGGACCCAGGTTACACTATCCAGTTTATACAGGATAAGAGAGCAAAGTAACTAAACCATATAAACCAGAGTCCCCAGGAAAGAAGCAAGTCTGTTACTTTACCACTTAGTCATTGTTAGTTGATTCTATTTACAAATCTGTTATTATTCCAGTTTGCCCTTCACTGACATAGATTCATAACCAATGACTGCTAGGTATCTATGCACAAGATACGTTTTATACACATCTTCTAATCTCAGCCACAGCCCAGTAACGTTATTTCCCTAATCTCCATTTCACAGTTGTGGAAGTTAAGAGTCAGCGTATTGCAGACTTGGTGAGGTGGCCCAACCTCAAACATTAGTGAGCAGTAATTATAAAAATCCTTGAGTACTGAGATCAATTCTTCTGTATCATAACTGGGAATGTTGTTCAGAGTTCAGATAAAGTTAAGCTATTTAAGGATAAAACATATTTCTTCTGATATGCTTAACAGTAAGTCAAATCTTGTTGCAGAAATGAACTCAGTGTCCCAGAAGCTTACAAAGCCAGGTGGCTAGACGTTTGCACCCTGTGGTCCTACACATGCATTCTGAGCTTGTCACTCACTGTCGGCAGGCACACCTTCATCTCCTCTGAAACTCCCTTGCATGAGCTACTGGAAACTTAACTGTGATTGTGAAGGTAGAGCCCTTGTGCCCCTATGACAGTTCACTGGAGCACCCAGACAGATAACCCTTTATCCATGGCATCCCTTGATTGGGCCAGTGAAACAAAATCCAACCTCTAATTAATCCACACAGTTGACAAAATTCCCAAAGTCAGCAGCAGCCTTCCCAGTTTTTTTTTTCCTTCACCAAACACAGTTGACACCAGGCATTCCTTGCCAAACATCATCTATGGCAGCCTCTTTGAGGTGCCACCATGAGATGGTGCACATAGGGTACAAGCAGTACCTCATATCTCCCCAATGCTTGCCGCCTATCTTAAATGCCAGCTGTACAGATTCAGTACCCTGTTGCTGGAAGGCCTTCAGCATTCACTGCTCTCCCACTCAATCATAGACATCCCCAAGGATGGATAGGTTACAAAAACAAGAAAGCATCTCCTACAATGCCTTCCACAAAGTTTAGACATATGATGTTCAAATCTATTTACTATCTCTCCGGGTAAGACCATAGCATCCATTTTGTGGACAAGTTTTCTGAAACACCAGATTATAGAGCTGGTTCCTAAAGGGAGAGAGGCCACCCTGTGGTGGTCACTGCCTCTGCACTTCACAGATCTGGCTGATGAGCTAAGTTAAATTCCCAGAGCTCAGACAGCTAAGAAATTCCAGTAAAACAATTGTATGTTGGACCTGGGAAATGGTTTGCTGATTCCATGTGTGTCTGCTTACACTTCCTCATTGTGGCCTCCTGTCTTAGTAAGGGCTTATGTTGCTGTGAAGAGACACCATGACCACAGCAACTCTTATAAAGAAAAGCATTCAATTGATGGGGCTGCTGATGGTTTCAGATGTTCTGTACATCATCATCATAGCAAAAAGCATGATGACTGGGAGTATGGAGTGTGCAGGCAAATACGGTACTGGAGAATTCTACATCTTGAAGCAAAGGCAACAGGAAGTGAACTGAGACACTGGACAGTATCTTGAGCATATATGAGACCTCAAAGCCCTCCTCCATAATGACACACTTTCTCCGACAAGACCACATCTCCTAATAGAGCCACTTCTTTTGAGGGTCATTTTCTTTCAAACCACCACACCTCCTTACACTAATGGAATATCAGTAACCCCAGGATAATAACAATTGGACCAGATTAGCGACTCAAAAACAAAAGGTATCTGTGGAGTAAAAACAAGTAATACTGATGGTTATCTCAACCCTTTGTAGTAAGCCCAGCCAAAGAGCTTGGTACTTTTAGTAACTCGAAAAGAAGTCAATGCTCTCAGCTTAAACCTCTGGTTCTGTGGGCTGGTGGTGATAATCACGTGTTCCTGAAAGATGCTATGGGGATGTCTTACCACCCTTCTCCGTAATTCTCAGTTTCCCCTCTCCTTTGCAGTGTCATCATGACGGGCTCCTACAACAACTTCTTCAGGATGTTCGACC